GTGAGTAAAATTTTGAAGACTTAATTATCTTTCAGAAAGGAAATGATCTTCCAGTTCCCAGTTTCCAGAACAGTGAGGCATTACTAATAATAAAGCACCATAGCTAAATTATATATGTATATACATTTATAACTACATCTATCTATCTAAATATATATTCACATTNGAGGCATTACTAATAATAAAGCACCATAGCTAAATTATATATGTATATACATTTATAACTACATCTATCTATCTGTCTAAATATATATTCACATATGAACACATATTCATATTTTTCAAGTGTGTGATTTGATAAACAGTTCATACTTTGCACACGAATCTCAGTTTACAAAATTGACCAGGAAAACCATTGTGATTCCCTGAAACGTTAAAAATTAAATGCAATAGAATTTAAGGGAAACTCCTGCTTTACACATTGGATGATGTGGCATAATGAGTGTTCTTTTCTTTAATCTTATCAGCTCCACCACGCTTTTCCCATGTGCTCCTGCCCACAGTGATTATTGGTGCATGAACACTATTCTCATTTAACAACGACTCACCAGTTTATATTTACTCTCTGTCAAGAAGGTGCATTTGTCAGATGATATACACATGATTCATTCGCACCAGTGTTCTAAGTTCAAACCAAGGAAAACTGTGGGTGTGTACACATGATGTTTGTCAGAGGGATTTTTTCTCTTGGTAAAGACTGTTAGGAATCTTATAATTAATTCTACCCAGTAGCACTGGGGCAAGTGCTGGCTGAAAAAAGTTAGGTTTTATTGCAAAAGGACTGATAAAATCTAGTTACCAAATAATACAGCAATTTTTCAATTATCCTCTCTAGAGAGATAAAAGAACACTATCTGGCTGAACAATCCATTAAGCTAAAATAGCGATTAAAATTACACAGTAATTTTTCTTCTTCCTCTTTTACAATATTCTTTAAGCATCTTTGTCAGTAGCCGCTCATTACTCTTGCTAAAACCAACAGAACTGGCACAGATATGAAAAATAAAACAGATAAGAACTATCTTTTTAAGCAGCTATTTGTTGTTAGCTGGGGATTTACGGTATTTAATTTAATCTTTACAACTTTTTTTCAAAAAAAAAGCTTCATTGAGATGTAATTCACATACCATTACAACAACTATTTAAAGTAGATATTGTATGCTCTGTTGATGAGAAATGCGATGCTCAGACCAGTGAATTCATTTGTAAGCTTTGCTTGGAACCTGTATCTGTCTAATTTCTTCGGGGCCTCTGTTGTCATGAGTCCAGCACTCTTTTTTGGCAGGAATAATGCCAATAGCTGCTAAAATGTTCTGTGAACAGTGACAAAGAGGAGATAGTCCTTGCTTGGTAGGAGGTATGATCCTGGGGGAGCGTGAGGCTTGCTCCCCCATTTTATTTCACCCTCTGTGAGTTAAAGATTTCATTATTTTTGCTTCAAGGTCTTAAAACCTAAACTATTCTTACTTATGACATGAAATAGCATTGGCATTTTAAAGGATCTCAGATTTTGCTCTTACACAACTCATGGAATGGGTAGAACTAGTTAGTCTCATACCCTCCTTCTGGAGTTCAAATCAGGAGATGACAGTTTGATTTCTGCACCCACTACCTTGGACAATCCACTTAACCTCTCTGCAGCTCACTTTTATCATCTGTAAAGTGAGCATCCTTCATCTTTATAATAATGCTTTTCTCTTTTCTTCGCGATCACTTATCCTTGCAGTCATTTCCCTTGGGTCTGAAGGCTATGGGTTTCCAACTTTATGAACCAGGACTGGCTACATAATTTGCAGTGCTTGGTGCAAAATGAAAATATGGGACTTCTTGCTCAAAACGTAGTAAATATTTCAAGGTGGCAACAGTAGAACATTACACCAAACATAAGGCCTCTCTGAGAAGGGGACCCTGCTTGACTGTACAGGTCACATATTTATGTGTTGGGCCCGGCTGTGAACTTGGTGAAGATCTCCTGGGGTCAAGAGTGAGGCTCGATGCTCTCAGGCAACAAGCCCAGGGCATAGCCCCAAATCTTACTTCCTTTGGAGAGGAAGGTCTGATGCATGAGTAGGAAGCACAGTGTAGGTTTCAAAAGCTTATTCTCTAGAGTCTGGTATTTCTAAATTGAAACCATGACTCTGCTGCTTAACGCCTGTATAATCTTGGGCAAATAAATCCCTTAAACCTGATTTCTTTACCTTTAAAATGGGAATAATGCTAGACCCAACTTTCTAGAATTGTTGCAAGTTATAAATGAGAACATTTATGCCCGGTACTAGAAATGTAGGAAGCACTCAAATAACAGCTCTTATGATGGATATTTTTTATTCTTTTATAGCACTGAAGTATTCCTTTTGTGAATCTGGTTAGTGTCCTTACATTTTCCCTTCTGGAGTGAGGTTTCTGGGAAGGTTCTTTGGCTACATCATTAAGCTGAACATAGGATAATTTCTGATCTACTCTTTCTCTGTTTCTGATTTGTGCCCACTACTATGATGCTATCCTGCACAATTATTATAATTTCCCCAAATTTCAGTTCTACCAGTGATGGAAAGGTCTTAAGTATAAAGGAATTCATAGATGGTTTGACATGCTGATATTAACAAGATGATATATTAAAGGAATGTTTTGAGTTACCAAGACTGGACGCATGATTGAAATTACTGTGTATTATTAATACTGCTTAATGCACCAAAGTCCCTCCCTGGATAATCTTTGAAAGCCTTTTATTTTTTTATTTTTTATTAAAGAAAAGTGACTTCTGTCATTTTCCCTGTTAGGTCTTTTAAATCTTTAGTCATAATGACCAGAGACAACACTCAAACTATTTAATAATTGGTGGTGAGGTATATACACTATCATTCGGAGAGTACCACTAGCCCATCAGGAGGTGCCCCGGAATAACATCCCGTAAGACCATGCACACCATGATAATGTCCAGTAAAATCACATCAGGTGAGCATCATCAGTTGGTTGTAGTCCCTTTGTGATCCACTCAGGCATTTTATACCAGTTACATATACAAGGGAATGCAAAGTTATTTGGTTAGTTTTGGCCTTTGAAGGAGTCCACCTGTTTAATAATTGCTCTTATGACATTTTAGCATTTGCTGTCACCTATAAGAGTTATAGCCTGCATGGAAGTACTTTTAATATCATATAGGTTAAGAGTTAAAAACAGTACAGATCATAGAAATGTAAGAGAGATCCGTGGTACCCAAGAACTAGTTGGAAAATACTTTGAACTTACTGGATGGCTAAAATTAGCAATTTTTACTGTATAACGACCACTAGAAATATAATGACTTCAAGAGAACACCTTTTATTCTACTCAGTGCCATTGCTTCCTGGGCTATTCCCTGCCCTCCCAACAATCTGAGATCCTTTGCTCATTGTACAGTTCGTTAATGTTCTCAGTTACTTACGGCCTAGTTTAAACAGTAAACTAAATGAAGAGAAATACTTTATTCATCATTTTTAAGGAAAAAAATTAATGAATCATGTAGAATCAGAATAAGTTTGTTGTAAAAGGCATATTGACAAAAATATGTCCCTAGTTAAGTGGCCGGTAGACTCTCTTTTCCCACTTGCTCATTCTAACAAAGACTGACTGATGCTTCTTTGGACAAAGTTGTAAAAATTCCTATTAAGGATAGCACTTGCCTCTGAGTGTAAGGTTTAATTGGAAGAAAACACAGGGAAGTGATCCATGGTTGGCTCTTTGCACCTGTGTAAACAAACACTGCCCTCCGCAGGTCAGCATCTTGGTCTTTCCGGTCAAGGGCTTTTGCCTTGTGAGGATGAGTGTGCTTCTGAGAGTACTCTGTGTCCTTCGACTCTTTCTGTCCTAATTCCACATGGTCTTACTCAGCACTGATTTATAATAAGTGCTGGTATCTGATGGTGCACATTACTTTCGTGACCTTCTTCTGGATTACCTTGAGCATCAGCCTTTTTCTTTTTTTGTGATCTTTTTGTTTTTAATTTTTTTATTAAATTTATTGGGGTGACATTGGTTAATATGACCATATGGGTTTCAAGTGTACAGTTCTATGATATAGGATCTGTATATTGCAATGTGTCCCCACCATCCAAAGTCAAATCATCTTCTGTCACCATATATTTGGCCCCCTTTACCTTTTATTCCCCCCCCACACTCCTCTTCCCTCTGGTAACCAACCATTCTGTTATCTGTGTCTATGAGTTTCAGTTTTATATACCACATATGAGTGAAGTCATATGGTTCTTAGCTTTTTTTGACTGACTTATTTCACTTAGCATAATATTCTAAAGGTATAATATATACATTTTAAAATAGCTTAGGAACTTACAAACACACACAAACACGTGTTATATAGACATAACATGTTGTGATTTTTCTTGAGACTAAATTGAATGTATAGATGGATTTGGGGAAGAATTCTAGTTTTATGATTTTTAGTCTTCCAGTCACCAAACAGGGAATGTCTATTTATTGAAGTTTTGACTTACTATTCTGTTTTATTAACCTTGGGATTTTCATTATTACTTTTAAAATATATATATCTTTATTGATTTCAGTGAGAGGAAGGGAGAGGGAGAGAGAGAGACAGAAACATCAATGATGGATGAGAGAGTCATTGATGGGCTGCCTCTTGCACGCCCCCTACTGGGGATCGAGCCCACAACCAGAGCATGTGCCCTTACAGGGAACTGAATCATGACCTCCCGGCTCATAAGTCAATGATCTACCACTGAGCTGTGCCAGCTGGGCTCATTATTACTTTTTTTTGTAGAATTACAAATGCATTTGTAAGTTTTCTTGTTTGTATTAATCCAAGATCTGAGTATTTTTCAATAGAGTGCTAATACATATCTAGTCCAGCATCCTACCAGAAGGAGATGACTTATGAAGAGTATTTTTATATGCACTTTTCTATTTAAATATGTGTGAATACCTTGAGTTTGGTTTCTCTGCCAACCTATGTCTGCTTACATGTTGGTCTGTTTTTTACTTTGTAGGTGGAAAAATGTTAACCAGTGAAAGAGCCCATTTTTGGTCAAGAGGAATTTCACGAAGCAAGTCTGAAGGAAATTTGATGGAAATGGAAGCCCGAAAATCCTCAAAAAATTGCAATATCAAAGGTATGGGAATGCATAAATGTTGTAGTTTTTTCATCCATCACCAGCGGCTATTGCAGGTCTACCTCTGAAAAGTGCTACAAAAGATTAAAAGAATTATAAAATCTAACATTGTCATAGAAATATTTACACTACCATTCAAAAGATGAGCAAAATAGTGGAGCCAACAGATTATAATAAATATTATGAGGAGGCAAAAACTCATTATTAAATGAATGGTATATACAGTAAATATACAACGAATTTTGGGGTTAAAGATATCTCTAAAGGTTGGAGTGGGCTACAGAATCTTTATGGAGCATAAAAGAAATTGACCCTTGTAAGAAAAATAGTTTTAAGAGTTAGATGGAACTGGTTGGAACTGGTTTGATGAACGTATGGAAATAAGAGAAATAAAGCTTTTCTTTTTCAAAATACATCTTCTAATTTTTAATCAATGTCACTTATAATTTATTTCAATCAAAATAATAGTTCTATATATATTAAAGCAAAAACCCTGACAGTTCTCTATATATTAAACAAAAGATAGTCTGGTAGTTTACTCAAATTCATTTCTCTTTTGACTGGCCTCTTGGCTTTCATTTTTCTCTAAAGCAATACCAAGTTCACAGAGTCCACAGAATCATTACCAATATTTACTGAGAAATGACCAAGCATGAGTAGCTCTCAACATTAAAAATACTTCAATATTTGTGAGATATGTAGAAATTTCTTAGTTGATATGTGCATATTTTAATGTGTTGCTGCTTCTTAAAATACTCACTTTTTAAAGTAATAAGATGTTTTTATTTCATAGTGGTAAACCTGTGCTTTGTCATTTTAAACTTAAAAAGGCTCAGTGAACTCCTAATCTGATGTTGATTGTATATGAAAATAATTTTAATATTATTAAAATTTATTAATACAAAGTTATCAGGAAATAATCTGAAAAATGCATTATCTATTTAGCCAATTATTTTTTTAAAAAATTTAGCTACTAACAGATGTACTTGATATTTTTCACATTGAATATTACCAGAAGAGAAAAAAATTAAATGAATAATCTAGATATATTGACACCAAATATTTAATGTTTAGAAAAAATTCTGGATAATTGACTGAATTATCCTGTTTGTTCAGAGATTTTCTTTTGTGAAAATGAAGCACAAAAGTATAAGGCATAAGTATATGTAGTGTGGGTGATTTTGAAGGAAATGTGTTAAATTGGTTATTATCTAAATTGTTAAACATTTATTTATTTATAATTCATTATGTCTTAAGATAAAATAACATTAGACATGGTCAAAATAAACTGGTAGAACAAGTTCCCTTTCCTCACAGCATGAAAATTTGACCAAATTTAACATTAATGTTGCAGTACCTATTAGACTAGAGCTCAAAAGTCTTGAATTGTTAAGCTATAATAAAAATTAAACTTGGTTGTATCTCAGAATGACACTCACCTTTTTCTTTGCTTTGTTTTTGTTTAAATACTAAGAATGCCCAGACCCAAGTTTGTGTCTCAATTGGCCAGATGTTTTCACACTTCACGGCAATAATGTTTCCAAAGCTACAAACCCATTCTGGAATGAACTGTCTGCTTCGAACCCATTTTTGGATGATATAACTCAGCTAAGAAACAACCGGAAGAAAGATAATATTTCCATCTTGAAGGAAGATCCTTTTCTGTTTTTTAGAGAAATAGAAACTGGAAATTCTTTTGATTCCTCTGGTGATGAACTCGTGCATGAGTGGCTTAAGCAGCCTTCCTCAGGGAGATCCCCAAAATCTAAAAGTGTCTCAGAACTTTTGGACATTTTAGATGACACAGCCCATGCCCATCAGACTATATGTAACTCCAGCCAGATCCTAGAACAAGATTTAGAATGGCTTCAGAATGATCGAGAGGCTTATAAAATGGCATGGTTAAGTCAACGCCAGCTGGCCCGCTCCTGCCTGGATCTGAATACAATTCATCAGAGTCCTGGATGGGCCCAAACCCAGGCTGCGGAGACTGTGATGGTCTGTAAATTAAGCCACCGGGGAGGGTCAGTACAGTTACCTGAATCAGATATCACCATTCATGTGCCCCAGGGTCACGTAGCTGTGGGAGAGTTCCAAAAGGTGTCTCTAAGGGTTTTTCTTGACCCTCCACAAATGCTTAATCACGCTCTTTCATGCACCGTAAGCCCACTGTTGGAAATCATGTTAGGCAACCTTAACACAATGGGAGCCATTTTGCTGGAGATGAAAATCGGGGCTGAAGTAAGAAAGGATCCTTTCAGCCAAGTCATGACAGAAATGGTGTGTTTACACAGCCTGAGTAAAGAAGGCCCTTTCAACGTGTTAAACAACTGCTACATTTATAAAGACACCATCCAAGTCAAGCTAATAGATTTGAGTCAGGTGATGTATCTAGTGGTTGCTGCGCAAGCCAAAGCGCCTCAGTCACCAGCTGCCACCATCTGGGATTATATCCACAAGACCACCTCAGTTGGAGTTTATGGGCCCAAATATATCCATCCCAGTTTCACTACTGTTTTCACAGTTTGTGGACACGGTTATATGCCAAGAAAGCTTACAATCTCTGATATTAAGAAGGGTGGAAAAAACACATCTCCAGTTGTGTTTCAGCTCTGGGGGAAGCAATCATTCTTACTTGACAAGCCACAAGATTTAAATATTTCTGTTTTTTCATGTGATCCTGATTTTGAAGTAAAGCCAGAAGGAGAAAGAAAAGAAATTAAACAGAAGCAGTTGCAAGCAAGTCAGGTGGTTCATAAACAATTTTTATTTTCTTTAGTTGACTCCAGAGCAATGCACTTGTTCGTTTTCCGTGTTCAGCTAGAGCCTCCCAATGGCAGACCAGTTACACAGTTCCTTATCACTACGCCTAGTCCAGCCCCAAACCTAAAAAGACACTCAAATCTGCCAGGTGATTTGCAGAAGAAGGAAATCAAGTCTGCTTCTTCATTTCCAGCAGTGCACATTAAATATCCTACATTTCAAGACAAAAAGTTGAACTTTGCCGATTATGGAGTAACTCTGAAGACGGTGCTAAGACAAAACAAGATTGACTACTTGCTTGAATATTTCCAAGGGGACACGATAGCTCTTCTTGGGGAAGGGAAGGTAAGAGCCATCGGGCGGTCCAAAGTGAAAGAGTGGTATGTGGGAGTCCTGAGAGGTAAGATTGGACTTGTACATTGCAAAAATGTCAAGGTGATTGCAAAGGAACAAGTAATGTCAGTGTCAGACAGTGTCTTCACAACCAGGAACCTTCTTGAACAAATTGTCCTGCCCTTTAAAAAACTGACTTATATCTACTCAGTTGTATTGACCTTGGTGTCAGAAAAAGTTTATGACTGGAAAGTTTTAGCTGCTGTCCTGGGTTACTCACATCTCACACTGGAAGATTTTGATCGGATACAAACAGATGAAGAATCAGAAAAAGTTTCTTGTGTTTTAAAGAAGTTAAAAGAAGATTGCCATGCAGACAAGAACACCAGAAAGTTTCTTTATGAACTCGTTGTGGTGAGTATGGCTTGATCACAGTAATTAGTTTACCATAGAAAACTTTATCAACTTGGTACTATTTATAACCAAGCACCTGAGAGAAGCTAAAAAAATTCTCAGCAGTCACTTTACAGCAAATATATAGCTTTTCCTACAAAACTGTATAAATAGTTTCTTAGATTCCATTGTGATTTTAGCAAGGAACTCGGCCTGTGAGGATCATCTTTTGAAGTGAAGATTAAAGTTCCTGTTTGTGTTGGAGCATAACAGTTAAGAGATTATCTTCCCCTTTCAAATACTTGGATAGCTCTTAAAATATCAGAGAAATTCCAATAACACGAATGAGAGCAAACTGAAACGAACTAATTAACTTGGCCTTTACTATAGGTCCACTTTTTAGTGGTTTTTAGAAAACATATAATCAATGCCCTTTACTTTAGCAATTTAATATTCCTCTTCTGTATGCAATTCATCATAACCCCCAAATAATATTGCTTATTCTCTTCTTAATCCTCATGTTTTAATAGGATTCACAGGAACATTTTTTCCCCAGAAAACATTCAACTCATTGAAAGTCTCAGTGGAGAGTTATAAAGAAGATGAACAACTGTTTTGTCTTTAAAGTGGAAATTCATTATTTTATAAAAGTTAAAAAAATCAAGAGCATATTTTTAAAAATTTCTAAAATGTGATTTACCTAAAGTCCTATACTACATAGAGCTGGACTTTCAACTCAGGATTTGTAGTTCTATGTGCAGATTTCCCCCCCCCTTAAAACAAGGAACTGGGATAAGCATTGCTAATCCACAGTTTAATAAAAGAACCTTCAGGGCCCTCCTGGCTCAGTACTTCTCCCTGAGGTCATAACTCCTCACTACAAATTTATGGATCAATATATAATCTATGTATAAAGACTATGGGTCCTTCTAATGGTTCCATGGGAGTGAACTCTCTATGGACTTTAATAGTTGCCTTACTTGGTCATTCATTTTTACTGATTATTTCATAATAATAGATAACATTTTTAAGTGCTATTAAATGATGAGGGGCTACCAAACATGTTTATTTGCTTGTTTGGACAAAAAAGAGATATAGATGTAATCCCATATTTTAAAAATATATTCAAGGCAAAAGAGAAACTCATAAACTCTTTTGAAACGTGGTGCTTGACAAAGCGCAGATGCCTGACTAAGGGGGCAAGAGTCTGATGAGTTTCCATTTTGTGTTGTAGAAGACTGAGCGTATTATCTTTTATATCTTGTGGTTTGTATTAGGCACAGTAACACTGGTGATGAAGGGAGAGAGTTAATTTTTTAAAGTCATAATTATCAATAGCTTTGTTCAAAGTTGTAGGAGGGTCTCATTTTCATGCCATGGCGTGATTCTGGTTAGTTTTAAATCATGTTTTGATGAAAAATTGAATAATGGTTACCAGCACCAGTGTGCTCACTCCTTCGAGAAATCCTGTAGCCAATCCTCAGGTTGGGAAAGGAATTATTTTTTGGAGAGTGAATTATCATCCCTGGGTTGATAAATTACAGACCACTGGAACCCCAGGGTGTCTTTAGAAGTGTCTAGTTCAGCATCCTCCTTTTGCAATCAAAGATATTAAGAAACATATTAGTTAAGTGGTTTACCCTAGGCCCTGTAATTAGCCACTGAGGTAGTCCTGAATCTCTAATTTTGGTCCAGCTGTGTCCGCTGTACTTTGCTGGTTGGATTTGCTTAAAAGTAAATGAGCTTCTTAAATTGTACGAAACTCACATATATGTAGGGTGAAAAATAGGATGCCAGTTTCTGGAATATGTAAGGAAAAATTGAATTTCTAAGAAAAAGGGCACATTAGTTGCTTTTAATTATGACATGTAATTATTGCTGCAGGCTCTGCTGAAGATGGATTGCCAGGGATTAGTGGCACATATCATCCAAGAGGCTGCTATCCTGACTTCAGCTGTCAAGCTGGGAAAAGGCTGGAGGGAACTAGCTCAAAAGCTGGTACGACTCACAAAGCGACAAATGGAGGCATATGAAATTCCTCACCGAGGAAAAGCTGGAGATGTTGCTGTTGAGGTAATATTTCTGTTTTAAAGAATAAAATAGTGAAAAATTGTAGACTAAGTAAATCAAATGTAATCAAGCCTGAAGGACTTCCAGGGATCAACGGGGAGTGTCCTAGAGAATCCACTAACTGAAGTCACTGCCCCTGTAGTCATCAATATTATCCGAAACGTACATGTATCACTTTTCAAGTAAAGTATATTCATATTTCTCTTATTAGATTGCATATTAAATGGCTTTTGATCAAATGAGTTGGCCAAATTGGATAGCTAGCCAGTTAGTAGGCAGAGCTAGAAGAACTTGAGGTAGAGAACATATAACTTTGAAGGGAGGAAATTGGACTCAGTCAGGGCAAGGGAAAAATTATATAATAGAAAGTATTTATCAACCTTAGGCATAGACTTAGTCATTTGTGGTAAATAATATTTGCTGGCAATAAGCATTAAGAGGGTGATGGTAATGAGAAACAGACTTCTAAGAGCTTCATTGTCTCTTTGACAATTTTGCATGCAATAAGACCTATAGACATCAAATACAGAATGACAGCACATGGAACAAAGTAAATCTTTACCTGTAAGTATTAAATTAAATTAATGAAATTAAAATTTTATTAATATTAAAACAAATGTATACTATTAGGCATAAGTTAGATACATATTTTTTCTATTTATCATTAAAAATATAAGTCAATTTTTATGACTTAAATAAAAGTATCCCAGTGATGAGCACCTATAAAATGTGCTTTTCTCTCACCCAGTGTAAAGATTTTTGAGATATTTTAGTTAAGGAAAGAATATTTCTCTGATTATTGATGGCTTGGCAGGAGGCAGAAGCTATGTTCTCTACTTCCTTTTTGGGTGTAGAGCTGGAAATTAATAGAACTGGAGGTAGTTTTCTTACTTTGAAGCAACAATGCCAATTGGGTGTGCAGGACAAAACAACCTTCCCATGAAGGGGCAAGAGTCAAACCAAGTCAGCTGAATCCCAGCAGGTGCCGTGGAAGTCCCAGCAGGCTGGCTTCTGGGTACCTAGAGCCTAGCTCTCCTTTAAACAGGACTTTTTAGCCAAGAGCACCAGAGGCTGAAGACATATTGCCTTCTTAAAGACTACATTTATCTCTGTACCCTAAGAAGTGCATTACAACCTACAAATCACTTCTTACTGAATGAGCCAAAAGATGAGAAATTTATAAGAAAGAAAAAAGCACAATATTATGAGGAAAATGCTGCTCTGATATTTCAGCTAACTGATTAAAAAGTTGTCTGAGATACCACTACACACCTATTAGAATTAACAAATTCAGAACACAGATAACACCAAATGCTATTGAGGATGTGGAGCAGAGGACTCTTCATTCACTGCTGGTGGGAATGTAAAATGGTACACTTTGGAAGGGACTTTGGCTGTTTCTTACAAATGAAACATACTCTTACCATATACTCCATCAATTGTGCTCCTTGGCATTTACCCAAAGGAACTAAAAACATATGTCTACACAAAAACCTGAAAATGAATGTTTATATCAATTTTATTTATAATTACCAAAATCTGGAAGCAACCAAGATTCTGTCAGTAGGTATATAGATAAATGAACTTGGGTACATCTGGATAATGGAATATTATTCAGCACTAAAAACAAATTATCAACCTATGAAAAGACATGGAGAAATCTTAAATGCATATTACTAAGCAAAATAAGCCAGTCTGAAAAGGCTACATACTGTATGATTCCAAACATATGACATCCTGGAAAAGGCAAAACTGTGGAGACAGTGAAAAGACCAGTCAGTGGTTGCCAGGGATTGGGAGGGAGGGTGAATAGGAAGAGTGCAGAGAATTTTTAGGGCAGCGAAACTGTAATCATGGATATGTCACATACATTTGTCCAAACCCATAGAATGTGCAACACCAAGAGTAAGCCCTAAAGACAACTATAGACTTTGGGTGATTATGCTGTGTCAGTGTGGATTTATGAATTGTAACAAACATACCACTTTAGTGAGAGATGTTAATAGGGAGGCTATGCAGATGAAGGGGCAGGAGGTACATGGGAAATCTCTACAACTCTCAATTTTTCTGTGAACCTAAAGTGTCTCTTAAAAAATCTTTTTAAAAACTGTCTAATGAAAGCAGGACTTTTTTTTCTTAGTAAGTCTCTTTTTTCTAAAAAGGTTTAGTTGAGAGTTATTTATCAAAGTGTTATTTATTCTCTCAACTTTGGTAAGCATTTGACTTCTCTCTAATTATGGTTGTTTTTAGTTTGTTTCCCCCCAAATCCTAATGGATGCCAAACAGCCTACTTTTCCATTATTTACATTTGCACAGCCCCAATCACAAATATCTAAGTCTATGCCAGAGGCTAATAAATACTCAGAAGCAGAAAGGAAAGCCCCAGGTGTCTTTCTAGGGGCTAATGTTTAATTTATTGTGATTAAAACTAACAGTCTTCATTCTGATCTATGTTATTCAATTCTTAAAAATAATCCGTGGTATATTGGCCTGAAGCCATCCCAAATAATCTGTGGGAATCTTTACCTGTTAGGCCACTTAAACTGAAGAGTAAATGTATGCTAATTTCCATCCCCTTGGGGAAAAAAAAAAGTTGTATAATTTTTTTCTCCCAGGAAGGAGATGATTCTTAAATATGATCAATTTACAAGCCAAGTAGTTGATTTGAAAACATACTGTTATTAGCTCTGGATAGGGTTTGCAGAGGAAGGGAACTGGACTTGTGGCAGGGAGATAAGAAGGTCTCCTGGTTCCCATGCCCCTTTTATTTCCGTATCTCACCACCTCACAGGGCAGGATTCCCAAAATTTCCTTCTATGACCGCCAATGCCTACAATCAGGCTCTTTCCCTCACTTTCCTTTCTCTCCAACTTCTCTTTCCCTTTGTTCTATGTTTATTATATCTAACCTTTATCTGGAACTTACTCTGTGCCCCCAGGCACTGTTCCCTTAATGTTTCAAAGATTAACTTAATCCTTTCAACAAAAATTTGTGGGTCAGGCTCTAATATTATCTAAAATGTGGGGAGGCTAAGTGACTTGCTTAAACATGCATAGCCAGAAAGCCATGGAGCCAGGGTTAGAGAGCAGGCCTTTGACTTTGGGGGTCCCTGTGCTTTGCACTCTGCACACCCACTCCCAACCCAGTATGGTGGCTGAGTGGCAGAGCGGGTAGACGTGGTTAGGATGGGGGGCTTTAAGCATCTCATTTCACTTTTCCCCCCTTTTCTCAAGTTATGATACTATTAAAATCTGCCTCAACATCTTAATCAAGCCTCAAGCCAATTAAAGAATGGCGATTATTAATAGTATGTCTCTCAGATTTTTGTTGAGTATCTTGGCCATTTCTTACTCTTTTATAAAATGAAAAAAAAAAAAAGCCTCTCTGGAGACCTCTGAGAACATCACTTTTTAAATTAACCATCTCCCTAAATTAATTTTAAGAAATATTACTCAATTTTTCTAATGACATTGCAATTCCTACATAAAAACAAAACTATAAAACTTGAAATATGACTTTGTTTTTTAGAGTATTTCTTTGGAAAAAAATACACATGCTATACAAAGATGTTTAGTTGTTGCCAAGGTTTTCTTGTGAAAGTTAGTAAAAATTGGAGTTTTCCTGAAGATGTTTAGATCTTTAATTTAAACAAAATAGGAATCAACAAAATATTAGAAAAACAGTCCCCTGGAAAGGGGCGATGTGGGGAGGGGGGGTTCAGGGATAAGATATTCACAGGCCTAAATTAGGTAATCTTCACTTAGCCCTCTGGGGATTATGACCTTGTATGGCAATAATTCCCCTTGCAATGCTCACCCATTGGCCCCTGCCTAACAATAAAGTTTATGCTCTTTCCTTCTTACTCAGTATGGAGACTTATTCACCAAGGACACTAAAGGTTCACTCGCAGCTATAAGATATGTTTTACCAGTGCTCAGCTCAACCACAGACGCCAATCAGTAGGCCTGTTGAGGCTGATTTCTTATCTGACCTGCCAGAATGGGCCACCCTCCCTAAGGAAGCCCAACACAGTCAATATTTCTAAATGTAATAGCTTTTTTCCCTTCTCAGAAACCACTCACCTATAGAGAGTTAGAACTGGCACGGCATGTTTGTGTCTTTTTGTAGTCAGCACTTGAACAGTGAGGATCTAATTCTCTGCTTTACCTTCTAGCCAGGATCTGTCCTTCCTCATTTATGGCAGGCTGCTGTGTTCAGAGCACTTTATTCTAAGTCTCGATAAGAAATGGGAGAGTAGGTCATCCTCAAACAGCTAATTTTATTAATTGCTTAATAAGTAAATGAAAATTCTATATGGAATTCTTCCTATTTATTTATTATTTTGGCTCTCAATATTTAATTTATCCATACTTAACACATTCTCTGAGACTTCCTTTCTCAGCATTAGAACATTAGGAGCTAAAAGAACACAAACAGAATGAAAAATATGATTTTTCTCTCTAAAGCCAAATTTTATTTGGCCTGGGAATTGGGATAAACTGTTATATTTGAATTGTATTTTAAAGAAGTATATGATTAGATGCTAAAAAAACACACAAAAATAACTAACAATGAGAATGATAGTAGTTGTGCAGTTTATTGTGTGTGAACTGTCTCAGCTAATCATATGAACATTTTCTTTACAATATCTTATTTATTACAACAAACTTTGTAAGTAAAACATGATGCCATCTGCTTTTTACAAGACTGCAGACTAAGAGTGAATGAATTTGTATAAGTTATTCAGAGTAACATGGTTCTTAAGTGACAGAATTAAGATTCAAATTCAGGTATTTTATGCATAGTCCTTTCCTCTGTGCTGCACTGATTTCTAAGTCCTCTCAGAATTAACTAAATGAAAAAGATCAAAGTTGGGAGGAACCATCAGGGGGCACAGCCTCATCCTGAAGGACGGGGAAGCATTTGAGTAATTGGAGAGGACTAGCGGGGATTTCAGTGCCTATGGGCATCAGTGACTTCTAGGGGCCACTAAGGAGGGTATG